TTTGCTCCTTCATTTACATTTTCAAACCTGAACCATTATGTAAGGCAAGATTTTTGACCTCTAAGATGGATTATTTTAGTGCAATTCACTTTATGCTGCGATCAAAGTATATCTGACAAATTAGCACTCAGTATTTCTCAAAGAAGTCCCATTATTCATATTCTCGACCACTATTTTACTTAATGGCAGCGATCTGAGGGAAACTAAGTATTATGCTTTTTGACACGATGACTTGTAGCATGAAGTACTTAAAACTCAGGGCAGCACTTCCGAGCCAATTTTCTGAGATGCCAAAGGTAACAAACTCCCAGGTTACATGGGAAGTAGTATATTCACATGCAGGGTTCCCCAGCTACAGTGGGGATTCATAGCGAGAAACATGAGTTTTCATAAAGTTGTTCAGTAAACAAAAGCCCATGGAAAACCAGATGAAGATATCCACAGTGTTCTCTAAAAGGACTGGACTCCTTAAGCCAGGACACTTACAAAAGCCCAAATCCATTTGACTATGTTTTTGCAATCTGAACATCTCAACACACTCAAAAATTACTCACACAAACAATAACAGTTCAGATTGGACAGAAGTCAGATTATTTTTCTGTTCAATTCAACTCAAAAAAGGCTAAATCACTAACTCTGTTTCACAATGAACAACATTAGCTATTTTGAAGGCGTGAGAGAGAACACTGAACAGTGTCCTCTGCAGACTGCAGCGTTCAACCCTTCCCATATCATGGAAGAACTGAACCAAGCTACAAAGAGAATGTATAAAAATATATAAATATAGAATACATAAAAACTGTATTTCTGTCCCAACCTGGACATCGCTAGGCAAGATTTTTTTTTTTTTTTTACTGTTTTGTGTGCTGGATTCTGTTTAAACTTTGAAGTTAACAAAGCATTCCAAAACTGTAACAAAAAAATGCGAATGATAATATACAGCATTGGAGAAGTCTACCATGCTTTATGATCACCAATAACGAAATACATGTTGGCCTTAAATGACTGATACAAAACAGACCAGAACTAATAATTCTATTCAGAAGACAACATTTTCAGCACTTCAATGTACTTCAGTGAAAAATACTAGCATACCAAAACTTAAACTCATCTATATTTATATTAGAGTGTTTGTTCTCCATGCTGCCCACAAAGAAAGACACCTATACAACTGTATGCAAAAGTAATTAAAACTGTCCCTGTTCTGAAAGCGGGAAGGACAGATAAAGGCAACATTGCTTGTCCACAGCTGGTGAGAGTGGCAGACTGACATAAGCTAGATCTCAAAACCTTGCTTATTGGTATCTGTTTTGTCAGATTAAGTTATTTCATACCTTCCTCTACAGAAATGACCTAAACAAGATAGTGAAAATTCATTGTGGGTCTCCTCCCTTTGAAGATTTTTTGTTTGCTTCTTTTGTTTGCCAATCTTCCATAAACCAAGTAAAAAACACAGAAAATTTGTGTTGCCATTCCTATTTTTGAATAGTTGTCTAGATGTCTTCTCTGGCAGGGAACTGTCTAGATGACCTAATCCTTCCTGATATCACACAATCAGAAGGAGAAATCAAGTATGGAAAAAGTTTGTTTTCCTCTGTGGCACTCAGTCATAGTGAAGGCTTAACTAGAGAGAAAATGATGACCACAAGGAGCAAACAAACAGGTTTTCGTATTAGTGAAATTAAATACATCTACTGTCATATTAATAGAAAAAAATAGAATACTCTCCAGTAAGCACATTACCTATATCTTATCAAAATATTCTGTTCTTTGACTGCAAGATTCCCCCAAGAACTCAGCTGGTATTTGAAAAATCAGAACACAGGTAACCCTCCAGTCTAACTAGACAAATGTGGAAGCTGTTGCTGTAATCCCTGATAAGTTTTTTTTAAATGTGACATCACATGTGGGTTTCAAAACACTTAGTTACATCTTTAAGGATAGGAAAGTTACTGTCAAGATTCAGCATTTTTTTTTCCTTTTGTTTTCCAAAACATATTCAGTTGATTGCTATCATTTTGTTGTGCACAAATAAAAATCTGCAAAAGGGGTCATACAGATAGAAACAGAAGACATTCTCAGGTGTCACCCTAAACTAACAGTTTAGAGTTTGCTATACACAAAGCCCGAAATGTACAGCACAAAGCGTGCAGCACACTTAATCAGTGAGATTATCTACATGGAAAAAAAAATTATCTTTAAGATGGTGGGACAGAACATTTTAGACAAACCTTGCCAACAGGAACATTCTTAACGTCTTCTACGAACACAACTTCCCTCAGAGACCACTGCTCTTCATTCACTTTCTCCTCCTCTTTTGGGGCAGGAGTAGATCGTCGTCGTTCTGACACACAAAAAAATAAATAAATAAAAACTTGAAATAATCACGTAAACACCAAACCTTTCCCCGCAACACAGTTTAATTATTCAAATCTAAAATTAACAACAGAAGTTACAAGAATCTGTTTAAACCACCTAAGTCAAAGGTACATAACAGTGTATCATGCCACTTTTGTATTTTTCTATTAAATTAGGACCAGTAAAGACCCTTTATCAGATATCTAATGACATTAAAACTATATATTGAAAAAAAAAAAAGAAAAAAGAAAGAAGGAAAAACATAGCTAAAGAAAGCTATTATACAATGTAATTAAAACACATTAGAATATAAGTAATTTTGCAGGACTCATATTTATTCTACAACAAGACTAAGATTGTAACATCCTGCATTCAGCACTGCTGAAAAGCACTTTATAGCCCTTTGCAAAAGTCTGCCTGTCCAGTAACCTATGCATTTTTGATGAATTTCTGGAACAACAGCATAGACTCATAGTAATTGCAATAGCATTGGACTCACAGTAATTGCAATATAGTAAAGATTTGTTTCCAAGACATTATCTGAGTAGGAACTAGAGTAAACTCAGGATCAAAAATTAAATTCATAACTCGGCTAAATTAACTATGACAAAAACTTTAATCTCCTGCAATGAGTTTCTTTAGTGTGATATTATCAACATGATTAAAGAAACAAAGCAGATTTTTTTCAGCCAACTGTAACACTAACTTCAAACAGCAGTTCAAAATGCCAAGTAAAGTTATAGTCATAGGATACTTACAGTTGAAAGAGCTACAAAAAGGCATCAATAACAGAAGATTCTACTAATACTATAAATCAGTACTGCAGATCTGAGCATAAGAGATTCTCAATCTTTGTATGAGGCCATTTGATTCTCTAGTTGAACAGTTTTTAAAACTGCAGCATGTGAACAACTAGAAGCTACAGGGCCACAGAGAAGATTCCTTCAAATGATGGTATTGTAATAAACCCTTTATAAGATGCACGCGTTTAAATGGAGGACAAAAACAAACAAACAAACAAGAAAAATGCATCAGAAGTCAATTACATTGACTCAGGGCTCAGGACACAGAATTCTAATACAGCATTTCAGGTCCTGAAAACCAGCTTGCACTATAAAAACTTTCCCAACTACTTGCACATGCCTAGTAAAGAACGTTTGGGTTTAGACATTTTTGTGTAATAAGGATGACCAGCCACAGTTTTGCCCCTCTGAAGTTCACTTCTGAGGCAAATTGTGCAAGAGCATCTAAATCTGTAAAGGAATTTTCCTAAGCAAGTTCAATATCTGGGTCCTAAACAGGCTCACTTTGGTATTCCAATTAGACATAAAAAGCAACTTTGTCTTCTGTCTTTCTGTAAATCACCTTCTGATTTTGAAAAGGACTATTATGTCTACTTAGTTACACCTTACATCAACTAGTCATTATTTATACTGATACATATAAGTTCTTTCATATACATATGGTGGTTCATTGTGAAGAGACAAAAAGGATTTTTACTTTTCTCCAATTTCTGAGATTAATGCCTTATCTTTCTACAACTGCCATTTAATAAACATCTTAACTGAACATATCTTTTACGACTATGAGCTATCTCCATTACTTACTATATGGCATCGATGCGCTGCTTGCGATGGAGGATGCGTCGCTACAGGTGGAAGCTGGGGATGGAGGAGGACCCATCTCCGTTTTCACCGGCTCCTGCTTGCTCTCAGGCCTGGAACAAGACCCGTTACTAAGACAAAGACACAAGAAGGTGAAGTCTCTTTTGTGACAACAACACTCAGACTGTCATTATGTCCAGGAAACCAGCCATGTTCCACATAATGATTTTTGTAACAATCCAAGAATATTTTTCAGCAAATACTTTAATTAAGTTCATACTCCTGAACAAAACACCCTAACCAAGACAATACATTTCATATTCTGACTTGTGCTGTGCTTCTTAATCAGGAATTAACTTAACATTACTAAGCATAAATGTAACAGTACAGGGTACAAATTCTCAGATGTCGCAAAAAGAATTCTTAGTTTTATACACTTGTCTGAAGTTCTGAAATAAGTAAACTTTAACCTTTAAGGAAAACTTAAACAACAACTGCCAATCCAAATGATTTTATTCAAAGTATGGACAGGCTGAAAGGTGTCTCTCAACACCATGAAGGGCTTAAAAGCACTTATTTTCATGAACAAAACCACTCTCAGTGTGCCCAAATATGAGATCTTGGAAACATTTTGAAATACTGCCTGAGAGTGGAGGGCAAGAATACTTTTGTCTTAAGATGCAAGAGGATACTAGGTTAATATTTGCCTAGTTATTTCAGACAACTGAGACACCTTCCTTGCAGTAAACACTTCTGCGCATTTAGCAGAGTTTACAATAAAATTAAGAGACTATCAGGTATCAAAAAGTTTAAACCAGGTAAAACCTTCCTTCCTATTTTTAACCATCAACAACAACAAAAAAATGTCAAACAAGGCTGTCTCTTCCTTTAGGACACTTACTTGGCCTCAGTAGTTTTGCTGGCTTTCTCCAGGTTTTTCAAGCTCTCTGGTGATCGAAGCTGAAATCGGCAGCTATCATTCATGTTCCAAACGGATTCCATTAAGACACCCACTTTAGGAATTCCAGCACTGATTGAAAAAGCAACTGCTCCAGCATGATAGAGGGGGTTATTTCTTAAACACACCTAAAGATAAAAGTATTTATTTCCATGAGATCATATATTTCTATGAGTGGATCAAAGCAAGGAAAGTCATATATATACATGCATTTTCTTGGTGACATATTTAGCAGTCAAGAGAGAAATGAAAACCTATGGAACTGGGCAACCAGGAAAGTCAGTGTGATCTCCTATGCACTTTGCTAGGAGAAAGAGGCTGTTGTACAACTGACAGCTGAAAACAGCAGCTTTAGAAGTGCAACTGTTTAATATACAATTAAGAGGCTCAGCTTAAAAAGAAACAAACCAGCTAAAAATGAAGACTCATCCCAGAACAGAAGAGAATGGACTCAGAGCCAAGGGCTCTCTGCAAGGGAACTGCTTTGGCTCAGACCAGTTCTCGTAATCATCACAAGAAGAAACAAAGTTCTGCTTCAGCTATTCATACTTTTTTTTTTTGGTTAAAAAAAAAAAAAAAAAGCCAAATGCCTATAGCTCTGCATGAATCACAGACCCTAATCGTGCAGGCAGTTAAAAGCAAGGTCATTTACAAAGCTAAATGCTCTTTTAAGCATTAACATGTCTATACTTTTATACCTTCAAAGTACAGAATGGGTTAAGAAAGATGCAGAGAAATTAGAACTTAGTATTTGCATGGGTGCCATTTTTTCCTCCATGCTTACAGTAACAATTACACTAATAAGGCTAAAAATATACACTAGCAGAATACATCATTTTACGGTCATATAATTAAAATACAGTATTTTAATTCCAAATTATTTATAGGACTTTTGTGCATAACAGGAAAGAAACCTGCACTGTTACTCTTTTTTTGTTTAAGAACAGACTATAGGTTCATCACACAGCACTATAAATGTGTCACATATGACAGTTGAACTTGCCTGTGTTCCAACAGTTATGTTTGGCATTGAGGAGATACCAGCACTAGATTTGGGCTTTTTATTTTTTGCTCTGGCCTTTTCTAGCATTTTCTTCCTTTGGCTGAAAGGAACTACTCCCCTGTGGAAAAACACATAATGTTATCAAAAGGCTATCAAAAAAATGCTGTGTTTATACCCTCGAACAATTTATTCCGTTTAACATAGTCATGTTTAAAAACGCAGCTCTCTGAGAGACCTCCTCCAAAATCTCAAAGCACTGCAGAAGTGACATATTTTTCCACATATATCCCCACCTTCCAGAATTCATCTCAACTTTCTGATTTATGAAGAGGACAACAACAAAGGCGGAGAGCGCAGAAGAAACGTCCCTGCTAAGTGATGACTTTCATTCCAGTCCAAAGTGCCTCCACAGTCTGAGGCACGTCTGAGCTGACGTGCTCCAGACCCAGCTGAAGTTGGGCAGTGTCCCCTCTCAACGAGCTGACAGCTTTGCTCTGACTAATGGCAACTGCCAGAGGTTGCTGCCTTATCTTCACTACGGCCCAGGATAAGCCTTTTCACTTTTATAGGTGGAAAGCCCTTCTGCCAAAGGCCTCACTTTCTCTCTGTGGACATGGCTGAAGGACTCCAAGATCCATTGAGAGATTTCAGCTGCTACAGGTGAAGGAGAGGAAGAAAAATCCTTTCTTTTGTAGCTGGATTCATTCAGTTTGGCTGAAAACAGCATTTAAGCATGTGGTTAAGTCCTCTTAATAGATTTTTGATTTTGACAGTGTAAGATTTCAAGACTTCATGTTTTAGCCAGTCGCTTATAGTTAGATGTTTTTATTCAAAAACCTCCCTCATCACAAGCAAAACTTGACAGGCATCATCCTAAACCCTTCCACAAGGCTCCAGACCCATTCAAGATATTAGAGACATCTCCCCTAAGTCTGTTAATAGATAGAAGCTGCTATCTACATCAATCAGAATACATTTCAGAGTTACAGAAAAGCCTTTTCACTGACTCAATTCAGTGCTAAGATTTCCAGCTTGACACCAAGTATTTAACTCATTCATGCCTAAAAGCTACTTGAGATTTTTCTGTTACCTACAAGCACAACAAAATCCAAAGCCAAGACAAAACAATGCACACTAACACCACATTAATGATAATAAATTCACTCAAGTTAGGTATACACTTTGGAGCTCTTCTGGCAGTGTTATTTTTGATTTTTGAAGGGGTTTTGTGAACACAGAGCATTCTGACATAAAATTTGACGATTAAGCCTGTCATTTCAGACTTCGCAAGTGTTTATGCATTATGTATTTTAACAACAAGCTTCAGAACATCTGGTGCTATTTCTCTCTTATTTAGGATTGAGACCACAAACCAGCAGATCAGACCCCAAGAGGAGAATGGAGACCTCAGAGTTGGTTATGTTTGTGCCACGCTTAGAATTTGCAAAAGGCCTGAAAGGCTTAAGATGTACTGCTCTGTTTCACAAAGTAACCTTAAGAGTTATCTAATCATGCGAGCACCTCCTATGGATAACTTTATTCTCTTAAAGATTCAAATTGCTTAGGATCAAAGAAACAGTATAAAGAAACTTTTAAATGGGTACCTAAGCTCACACGCATGAAGATCAAGTAAAACTACACTGCAAACCACAAAAATTTACTTACCACCAATATAAGTTGTTCTCTAGCTGAGCACATGTATAAAGAGCACAACAATGTAAGGAAACGATGCGCTCTCCCTGAAGCTCTGAGTACGTCTGTGCAGTGTGCTCTAATTTAGAAGCTACTGAGCTTAAGGTTTCATCCACCCAGGTAGCAACCTAAAGGAGAAGGGAAGAAAAGAACAGGAAGGGCAGGAAAGAGTAGGGGGGTAAAAAAAGAAGGGGGTAGAGGAAAACAAAAAGCGTTGCACCTCTAAGTTTAATGTAACATTTATTATTTTTGAAAAAAAGAAAGAAAAAAAAACATTTTTGCATACTTCAGTAATCCCATGTGCGATATTATCCCACATCACCTTTTCTTCCCCTAAAACTGAGCTTTTGAGGCATTTTTCCTCCTTTCCAGTCCAGACAAAAGAAGTGACAAAACACAGAGAGATATTCTACAAGCATTTCAACAAGTACATACATTTTATCAAATCAAATATTGCACAGTTTCAAGTTGACTCTTTGCTGGCCAGAAAAAAAAATACCTCTACAGTACTGAAAACTTCAATGCCACTAGATTTTCAGTAATTACATCCAGAACATTAACAAACCTCTCTATTCCAAAACCAGGGTCAGATTCTAGTGCAACAGTCAAGCATTTCAAAAAAACCTGGTAGAAAACATATCCCTTCCCTGTTTCAGCTCCAAATCTGCTGCAAATCTAAGTATTATCACCTTTTCCATTCACATTTTCTCTGTTTTTTTGATTTCTTGTATTTTCATAAAACATAAATTAAGTTTTGGTTATATTTTTACATTTCTATAGAACAAAAAAAGATGAACAAGTGAACAAAGATTATCAGCTTCTGCTACTGACAAACCTTAAGAAATAACTGCACTGCAATACACGCAGCTGGAAAACAGCTTTATCAGATTCAACAAAGTCATACCCCACAGGTCATACCTTGCTATTTTCAGTGGCAACAGTTGCTCTAATGCTATTTGCAGAAAGGAGCACTATCTTTTCGTTGGTTAACCCCAAAAACATGGCTCGTGGATGATGCAGCGAAGGATTCTTTGAAAACAAGAAAAATACTTGAGATATTCAAAGCATATAAACCTTCTTAAGATATTATTTAAGGGTGTTCAGTACCTGTGCATTTCTGTAAGGCTCTGATTCACTCCACTTCCACTGATAGAGCTCTCCTTTACTGCTAACGGCAACAAGTTCAGAATATAGAGCTCCAATAGAAATAAATTTTGTTCCATCCTACAAATACCAAAATACGGAGTTTAAGTCAGCATCATCATAAAACCTGCCCATCAAAAATTTAATGTAACAAATTTCCATATTAAAAAAAGAAACAGAAATTACTAAGGTTTTTTCAAAATGTTAAAGAATTTTGGACTTCGGAAATAAAGAAGAGTTTGTCGTAAACTCAGCGATATGCTCAAACAAACAACAAGCAGTACTTCTTCCACATGATTTAAGAACAAAATACTGCTTCTGTAACTAAAGACGGGAAGATTTCTGGCCTGAGATATTCTTCAAAGAAATGTTTCCCTCTCAAAATCTGGACATTTTAATAGAACAAAAAGGCAGCCTAGTCTTCCACACTGATGCAGAATCAAAGTGTCACTTTATCGCATCATTAGGACCTGGCACACCAGACAAGCTAGTGTGCCAGCACCAGTTATGGGGTACAGGTTTCCTTTTTTTTCTTGTAAATAATTTCATTTAATAAGGTACTGAGCTAGTACCACTTTGCTCAACGGTCTCATCCTGCCCAACACCTGGATCTCACAGGCCTTCTTTTCTTCAATTTAGCAGGATAACAATACTGCAGCACCTATGAAACAATTATAATGTCACTTTTCCAAGGTCTTGTTCCCCACTGCAAACTACGGACTCATGAATTTGAAGAATTTGTAAAACGTTTGCACCTGTCTTGCACTGCAAAAGCTAATGCAATGATCAGATAACTTGAGTAACAGAGCGCTCTGGGAAACTGAGCTCTCAAGGCCAAACCATAAGAAAAAACAAAACACACAAAAACAGAAGAGCAGCAGCTTATTTGTTCCTTCGCTTAGGAGATTTTTCTTCAGTCAGGAGAATCAGCTACAAAAGTTTTCAAGTGGAAACAAAGGTTTTCAGTGTTGGAAATTTAGATTCACCCAGTTTTCCCTTATTTGCGTGCATGGAATTGCACGTTTCAAAAGGCATTGAGCGTCTTAAGAGAGTTACTGTGCTCTGGAGGGCATCCATCAGCCAGCACGTAGCAGTAATACTAATCTGAATCATGTTAATAATTTCCAATGTAAAACATTACGTATTCTGAGAAAGAAGTGCAACCACAACAGAGTGCACACTATGCAGATGCTTCTCTTCATTAGTGTAAGTGAATCTTCAAAAGTTAGTTAGCCTAATGCCTTAAAGTATGGAAAGCAATTAACTTTAACTTTGCTACAAGACAATTTCACTGCGACTTTTTGTTATTTTTTTAATTTTTTTTTAATAAAGTTTTATGAACATAAGGTAAACTCTAGAGACCTGCCATTCAAAGTCATTCTCCTCCACCCACCAGAACGTTACAGCTTGTGATCTAAAGATGAGAACCCGGCCACATAAACCTCCGTAGGGCCATTCAAAAGAGCAACAGCACGAAGATGCATGAATAACATCACAAGGCTGGCACTGCAACCACAGCTGTGTCTGTTCAGGTATAAATACTGACTTCAGACCAAGGAATTACATATTTGCACATGATTCAGCATTTGAACTGCAGACAAAACTCTTAGTTCTTCTGATAGTTCAAAGGTGACTAGACTGTAGTAGTACTAAACTGTACCAAGTACCCCCAAAAGAATTTCATACATATCAGAACCACTCTCTAATACAATAAGTATGGCTTCTTTTTCCTCCTAGACCATAGTTCGGTGCAAACTGAAGTTTCTGTATTTGTTCCAAATAGGTATGTTATGTTTAGCTATTGAGCTATTACTTGACTTGAATTCTCAAAGAATTGATTTCAAATATTTGGTGGAAAAAAAAAAACTGTGCATTATGCAGCATGTCAACATCATTAGACTCAGGTTCCGTGTGAAGCTGATACAGTTGGAAGCTGATATAGCTTTTCAGAAGTTTCACCCATTCTTGGCAGGCTGTTATTCTACCTCCCAAAATCTGCAAGTTTAATGTCTTCATCATGGACTGCTAAAATTCTGTTTTAAAGAGTTAAAAGCCAAAATCATTAAAGATCAAAAAGAGAGAAAAAAAAAAAAAACTGCAAGCAAGAATCTTTGATTCCTCAATGATTCTTCATGTACTTTAATCTCTACCAGCTTATTAACTTCTTCTGATAACACCTTGAGATCTCCTTCCCTGTTTTCAAAACAAAAAGGGTGTCTCCACTGGTCTCTCAGTCGAATCATCTCCCTCACTATTTACCTCATGAAATGTGTGCTGGACACTGCAACCACCACCGCCGCCTGGAGCGGGGCTATGGCAAGAAAGAGGCAGCACAACCTCGGTGACAAAAGTCCAGTCGAGAGACAGGATGAAATGTTTGCCTGCTCTTGGAAAAAGATGGAAGGCCTCTCCCACACGACATCCCGTTTTAAACTGGAAGCTAGGGGATAGCTAGAGTGCTAGACTGCAAATGCTATTTCTATTTTGTTCTTTCATGGTAAAACCCCAGAACCCTCCACCCAAGCTGGATGACTCCCTCATTCTACTCCTGTAAGAAAGAAAAAGGGTCAAAAGCTGCCAGCTCTTCCTGACATAAAGGGTCAGTGTATTGGTTCAGCAAAATCATGCCTCAGTCATGCAAAGTCTAGCTGGGAGGCTACTTATCAGATTTTTATTTTTCCCAATTATCTGCCTTGCTTAATTTGAACCACAGAATGGGATGATAGTGGTTAAAGGTAGGAACCTGTAAGCTGAAATGAGGTTTCCAATTTGCTTCCCCCTTCAAGCTCTCTGCTTGGTTTGAAAGGAACAAAATGGAGACAAAGGGAAAGAAAGTAGGAAACATTAAAAGAAATCAAACAGATATTGAAAACAAGTAGAAGAGGAAATGCTAGGAAGAGGTGTTCCAAAACTCAAAATTTGGTCAAGTAAACAAAAACTCTCACTTCCATTCCTGGAAAATAATTTTGTTCATCCATTTTAGCAGGCATCTAGATAATTCCTCAAGAAAATGGCATCTATAGATGGCTGGCAACATATAGTTAGCATTCCGTTTTTCTTGGATCTTGTGTGGGGAATTTTTTCTTGAAAGTGGAATTAGGGAGGCTAAGAGGGCCAGCTAACCAGAGCCAAAAGGATTCTTAAGTAGCTGCCAATACTCATTTCTGTTATTTGCCATCCTGTTTTGTGCGAGACTAACACAAACCAACTTTCATCGCTGTTTCTGAAAAGCTTCATCCAGTCAAACTGGAAGCATCCTGGAAAAGGAAAACCTAACCAAAAAAAAAGTTTTCTTTATTTCTTGTATAGAAGGACAATTTAAGTTGCTTCACGAATTCCTTATTACTTATTAATTTCTCTGAGCATCTAAATGAAAATAAATAAGAATCTGAGCCTTACAATCTACAGTGATGTCCTTAAAAAAAAAAAAAAAACAAAAAAAACCACACAGGTGAAGAAATTAAAACAGAAGTAACAGCAGGATCACGATTATAAGGGTGTAATTAGTTATTCATAATGTTCCCAAGTGCATAATAAAGCATATGCTATCATGTTATCTTACACGCACTTAACTGAGAAATTCAGCAGGGAAATAAAGACTATTTATTTGGAAAACATAAAGTCTGCTTCATGACACACGTAAAATGCTCAAAAATTTTCAATACCTTGTCCAGCCACCACTGCAGGTCTTCTCCTAGAGAAACAGGGCTTTGAACCGGCGTGTTCTTCTTGTCCAGGTTTGGCTCCCCTTCCTTACTCGTAGAGCCTCTCTCATTATCAAACGAGGCTCCATCAAGCCACCTTCGTTCACGCAAACGTAAAACGGACTCACGTTCACGCAACAGCTCAGAGTCTCTCTCTAAGGGAAGAAGGAGAACTGGTATGCAATTGGGTCACACCAGTGGGATAAAAGTAAGCCACTCTCTAGTAAAGACCCTTCAGGATGCAACTAACAGCACTTACAACTACTCATAAAGACTAAAAATAAAGAAGTCCTGACATGCAACATTCAATTTATCAACCCTTTCAAGCACATGGACTTTAGAATTACTAAATATAAAAATAGTAGCTAAAAAGTCTTACAGTCTGTGTGCTATCAAAATGCAAAAGCATGTTGCTTACTTGTCATTCAAACTGTAAGCAGCCAAATACATTTAACATGGTAATTTAAGGTTTCGTAGTACAATATGCAGAATTTTGTAGTATTGTTTTATCCATCTCATAACAACAACAACAAAAAAAAACCCTATATCTGTACTGTCTGTTAGATACATTTAAGCAAACCAAAAAAGAGTATTTATTAGAGAGTTTCATAAGAACTTTTCCAAAAAACAATAATTTGAAAAGGTTAAATAAAACAAGCATAAAAAAAGGAAAGGAAAAAAGCTCTTGCATAAATATTTGATAATCCAACCCCTTTTCTATAAGACAATACTCTATGGGACTGGATTAAACTGTATCTGTTTTGAGTAGATCAAATGAAAACTTTTCAAGAGTCAGACAATTTTTAAAAAGGATCCTCATAGGAAAATGTTCCTTACCAAAATGCTTCCCCTCCAATTGGCCTACAAACTGTCTAAAGCCAGTACTCTGCAGTTCGCTCATGCAGATAAATTTTTTAAATCAGGTAATCAAACTAACTTTCCAAGAGTCAACTATGCATGGAAAATAAGGATTACAAAATTCGTGGTAACGTCTTATATAGAATAACCTTAGGAAAGGAAAAAAAAGGAGGAATTTAGAAGGAGTTATGTCAGATGCTTAATATTTGTACATGCAAATAATGCATTTAACTTATTAAGTACTTAATTTACGTTCACAAAAGTCGACTGGAATTACATGTATAAGATGATCATGTTACCATATCATAATTTCAATAAATTACTCCAAGTCTTTGGTCTTTCGCTATACTAGACAAATGGGAAAGCTTTTACACAAGCCAAAAAACAACAGTTTGTCTAAGAAATATACTCCATATAGTACTGCACTTACTATCTTCTAGCAAACAACACACTGACCCTCGACTAGTAATTTTGTAACAGGCACTTAACTGTTCGGCAATTAATATCCTATATCATGTTCTCAAAAGGCAAAATAACTGTATCACACAAACGGTGACAGCAGAGGCTGGATTAACAGTTTGTAAATGCTGCCAGCATTTGTGTAATAGCTCAAAAAGCTAAAAGCTGCTGCATGCTTATTATAAACCTCCCAGTGTAATATGCCTTACAAAAACATGTAAAACACCTTAACACTGCTCAAGGTATTCATTCTCAAGTTGTCCCTACCCAACTATAAAAATGCTTCCAAAAATATTATATAGATTTCTTCTCCATCCCTGGTATCTACACATCTTTCTCCTTAGTCCATAAAGTTAATTTCTGCCATGGGACATATTAAGAACATGTAAAGAAGAGAGCATAAGGAGCAACCCTCCTCTATCTGATTAAGAATGCTGCATGTCATCACTTGTTACTGGTTTTTGAGTAAAACCAAATACTCCTAATGTAATATATGAATTAGTAGGTATTTGCACTACACATTTTAAAATATACTTAGCAGGTAAAAGTTTTACAACAGTTTGAAACAGCAATGATCAACCATTAGATTTAAAATGATTATAAAGGTTCTTAAACTTACCTGCTTGTATTCATAAGTCATTAATAAGTGAACTGTCGCTCACTAATAAAATTATCTACTCTGCATCTTTGACAACATATTATAGTCTACTTTTGCATCTATACCACCAGTGTGTACCATCACTAATGCTTTGCACAGAAAACTACTTATTATAAAGAAAAAAAAAAGTGCAAAATTACCTCTGGATGAGCCTAGCCTGGAAAGTGATGAGCGCCGAAAGGATGGATAACCAAAGTAACTAATATCTTCTGAAAACATAGCATCAGCATCAATAATGACACTTGGGTGAGCAGAATGTATGTCAGCATCCAGAAGAGACATAAGATCCTCTATAAGAGGAGACAAGGGTCTTAAGTGAATAATCAGCTACTTAAAAACATTAGCTAGAGAGACCATCAACTGGAAAGTATCAAAGCAAACAAGAAAAGACTATCCATTAATTGAATTTCTGCTCTTCAGATTCACCAGTGCAAGCCGATGTGCCTCGTCCACCTTTACAAACCAGCACAGCCAGCTAGCGCGTGGGACCAGCTTCCAGCCACATTTCCTAAACGAGCCTTACCTGAAACACATCTCTCTGCAACCCAAGAGCTCAAACCTTAAGCCTTTCACTTGGAAGAATGAAGTGCTAAGAGAAAGTAAATGCACATGTGCTCCCAGGCTTATGCACATGCACAGAAATCCAACGGGCACCTGGGTTTAAGCAGGATAAAAGTGATGGTGAAAGCTGCCTTCACAAGGCCTCATGTTTGGTATCGAAGACTGTCGGTTCCTCCGTGGAACGTTTCTCTCCAAGAACGACACTGTTCAGGTCACAACCTCGTGGCTGCAGCTCTTGGCACAAAGCCTTAAATGGCACCAACATTAAAAACAACAGTTATCTGGAAGAAAGTACCATTGCTTTCATACAAAGATGATCTTCAACACTGTGACAGGCCCGGCCACAATTTAAAAAGAAAAAATATATATATATTTTGGAGCTACTACTCCTGAACATCTGCAAGCTGTCCTTTACTGCACAGAAGGATATCGGTAAGTGCTCTCTGCACACAGAAGAGGCTCATGAAAACTCACACAGCATTTCGGGGAAGCCCAGGATATGGGCAGATCACGCAACCCAAGCACACTCCCGTCTTGCTGAATGGCAGTGTCCCTGCCACACAGGGTGGCTGCTGCTGGCAGCAGCACAACCTCATCTGCTTTAGCCACTCACAGCACTAACACAAGGCTCTGTCCCTCTGCAAGGCACCGAAGGAGCACATATGACTTCAAAACATCCAGGTTCTCTCAGCTTTAGCTTCATCGGAAGTTTTAAAACAACTGTGGCCACAAATCAAGATTTGGTGATGTCAAATAAAAACATCCTTAGTATTCAGCTTTCAGTGTTAAGAATCTTTTTTTCAGTGCAGTATAGAAAGTTAAGCACAAAGGCAAGTGTCTCCAAAAACTGAAAAGGGGCCCCATGTCTGCTGTCAGAGCCAGTATTAGTTCCCTGAACTGTTTCATTTACTGATACTGAAAGTGTCAGAGACTCAGGCTGGAGGAAACCTGTGTATTTACTCTGACTTTTCTGGACAGAAATTTGAAATCAAACAAATCCCAGCTACAACCAGATGTCCCCAACAGAAAGGAAGTTCACATAAAAACAGTGTGATAACCTGTTTTTGTGAACAAAACCCAAAGATGCAGGGGAGATGCAGGGAAGCCACAGCAAGCAAAACCAGCAGGTCAAATAGTTCTTTTACATTATGATCTATTTAAAATTTGCACTAGTATTCAAGTAAAGAATCCACTAAAGTGCAATCTGTGCTTCTAAAAGCACCTAGTTTAGGACATTACAGTCCATGTAGTAAGCTTTAGAAAGATCCCTGACAGGCTACAGGAAATTCTAGGGAAAAAAGAAAAAAAAAAAAAAAACCCACACTTACCTGGCAAGCAGGCTACACTTTACCCAAACACTTTAGATGCCTGTAAGCCTGGTCCTGCCTATCTTATCTACTTTCCACTGACCTCCTGCAATACCAAAGCAGAGGTGCCGCTCAGCTAAGTAGCGCACTTCTGTGAGATGCAAATGCAGCTGAGAACCTGCTAGAGGCCCCATTCCTCCTTCCTGCTACTTTCACCACTCTGGTACTTCTTCCTCTCCTCCTATGAGAGACTCCAACTCTCGAGTCCTCCAGCAAGCAACAGGAACAGCCCAGCAACTCACCCTGTTGGTTTTGCCATTTGCCAGCCAAAGATTTCCACGACTGCTACTTTGATCTCTCTTGGGAACAGAATTGGCCACACAGAAAAGAACTCGTCAACCTCGTGCAAATTTGACAACAGCCCCAAAAACCAAAGTGACATATATTTTTGGCTAAATGTACTTCAAGAAAAGTGAGAAAAATCAAAACTTCTTCCTTCAAATTCAAATCATATTTTAATTTTTCGTTCAATATTTCTGCAAGAGATCCCTCCCCTCTTCTTCCATCTTCTATAGCAGGAGAAGAGATGCTAGACCTGGTGGGAATAGAAGCCAAATCCATTCCCCTTCCTACATCACCACATTTTTTTAGTTCTATAGGAATACAGATATTGAAGAGCAAGATCAAGTTTAAGCATATAAGTAAAACACATTCTCTGTGACTTTACTCCCTGCTCTTCAGAGAAGTCCGTTACCACTTGTCACTTGTGCACTGATAGACCAGAATCCCATCCCTCAGCAGCTGAATTAGACAGAATCATTCTCATCATCAGAAAGAAGGTAAGAAAGTACCTATGATTCACTAGTAGACACCAGAGTATCTAGGGCAGAGGAAAGGGAAGGGGGGCAGGAGAAAAGAGATATAAGCAGCAATTCAAATATTGAGATTTCGGTTTCCAATAGCTCCATGACTATTTGCTATGGATTTATCAAAGATTTTGCCTGGATAGATTCTTATCTTAAGTAGAACTTTCATTATGTCCTTTCCTTTTTTAAAGGGACAGTCGTAAGGTCTCTCTTCTCATGTGCATATTTTTATGAAATGTCACAAACTTGATGCCTTTCGTACTTCTAATTGTTGATTTTGGAGTAAATTGCAAAACTGCAACAGTGAAGGGACAAAAATACGTATCATGCTACGCTAGGAATCCAAAGTCAAACAGAATTCTACTTATCTTGATGCTATACGTTCATTCAAAATGCTACCTAAAAAGTTAATTTTTCAAAAGAAAAGGAGGGAAAAAAAAGTTACATACACGTAGATGTCTTCCCAAAAGGAAAGCCACTGAATAACCGGTTTTAAATTGATTCCTATATTATGCTCCAATTCCCATCTTTCATCCCTGCAAACTAACACAAGCAGTGCTGCAATACAAAAGCAGTCTTTCTCTTCTCTCCTAAAAAAAGTAAAATAAAAAAAGAGGATTTTTAAACAAGCATATCTCAGATTCCAAAAATCTAAAGTTGCCTGGATATACTGCAGAACTTCTGCTGTTCACTTAAGGTATTTTGAATGTCTCTTAAAACTGAAACTTCTCTGATCATCAAAAAGCCCGATGCATAATCCTTGCACTGCTGAGATTATCACAAATGATATATTAGTGAAATGACAATGTATGAAATAAGAATTTTCAAATTTCACAGTAACTGGAAAGCAACTCAGTACTATTTTTTTTCCTCTTAAAATCATCTCTCTGGCTTGGAAGATTTAGAGGGCTAACCCCTAAATTTAAGGGTCATAAAGCACCAGACATGCATAAAGAAGAAAGTAAAAATTAGCATATCATTTTAATCAAAATGCAGAAGCCTCAAAAGTTCTGAAGTGTGAATAATCTTGTCTTTTGCCTTTTTTGGCACTTGAAAGGAACAAAAGCAAAAAGTTTTAAAGTATTAATCTAACATCATTAAAAAAAAGATACACACACAAAGCTAAAACCACACAACTGAAGATTCTTTATCTTTCAGAATCTTTTTGGTGTATGTATTTTTTTCAAATGATTCTTTTATGAACAATCTTATTACATAATGAATAACTGCTTAAATACATTCAATTCCTAACGTTTTCTCCAATTAACTCCAATGTTACAGGTGCAAAAGAACAGCCAGAGGCAAGACAAGTGATAATAAGGAGAATGCAGAGTTCTTGGAGCAAAAGATTTAAACACTGTTTCTGTGTGGTTTGAAAGGATGGGATGTTGCTCTTTTTCCAGAGTTACAGGCAAGGTTTTCTGGCCATCAGACTTTTCTGAAATCCAGCCTGCATGACTAAGCAATAATGGCAAGAATTGCTAAACTTGTCCTACTTAATAAAGCAAGGGTAGAGTCATAACAGCACATTGCTATTCAGCTAGACCTCTCCTATGTTCTGAACACATTCTGTGGGAATTCATTTCCACGCAACACACCTAGCTATTTTTGCCCATGAAACTTTAGTAAATTAAGGACAAATGCAGAAGGCACTGCACATTCTACCGATTTTGCTTATGCCTTTGAAGACAAAGTTGAGACAAAGCAGGTTGCATTTCAGTTGTGATTTCCTTCTCTTTCCATACAACAGCTGGGGAAGCGCTAGCCCAGTTTTTCCACAGAGTAAAAAGAATAGTGGAAAAAAAATACTAATATTAGGAGGGTGCAATCTCTTGTAAGAAAGATTAGTCTAAAAATGGAAAAGTTTTAAAAAGTAAGCCAACGAGGAAGCATTTTCTGGGTAGTTACTAAAGACAGTGAAATGTGGCACACTACTTTAGCCTATCTCAAATTGAGACTGCAGCCTGGGCACCCTGTAACCAATATCAGCTGTCATACGTTCTCAAGTGGCCTCTATTAACTGACCCCTATGATCTCAAGAAGCACCAAGAGAATAGTAATGCTGCCGAAAGCTGGTTCTTGGTTAAAATGCACTTTCACTCTGGATGATTACTGGCAGAGAGTTATCTTCTGAAGGCAGTTTCCGGAGGAACACATTCTGGTATGCCTACAGGAACAACTCCTGCTTCGAATAAAGGGATAGAGTTAAAAGAATTTGCTTCCTTCAGTGCATCTGTCTAACGCTATGAAGCTGATCTCTAAACATCCAGACTCAAATTAAGGATTTTTCACCCCTGCCTTTAAGTTCAACCAGATTCTTGGTTCTGCAGTAATACAAAAAAAAGCTTGTTGGCTTCAACCAAAACCAGAAGACATCAAGTGCATCACAAGCCTCTGCTGCAGAACAAAGAAACCTCTGTCTAATCACATGATGGACGAGATAAAGATGGAGGAAGCCCATGAGCCTTCCTGGTGAACCGGATGAGCAGAAAAAACATCTATTAGAAAAATACCAAAATATCATTCTGAACCCAAAGAGGAAAGCTAATACGTAGTCAGAGTTTAGATGCTTTCTTTGCATGTTGTGCACCTAACTAGAAAAAAGGTTAACATTAGATTTGGCTTCTATGTTTTCAAATAGGGTTACTTGGCAAGAGTCAGATTACCTAAGGAATTTAACCAATGCATAAGACAACCGGAAGTCTTTTCGAAACGGAAATTGCATGAGATAGACTCTGTTGGACTTCAAAACTACTGGACTTCAGTCATAACATTAAACCTGCATTGCCAGAATACTATAGCATTTATTTATAAGGGGCATTTGAGATGAGGAATAATTTATCAGTCTATCTGTAAGAACTGTAAACTGTTTGACCCTCCCTTGAGAAACTTTGATTTTAAAAGGCTGTATAAGTTTTGCTCTAAAAAATGTTGTATTGTAAGAACACATTAGTAAATTAGATAAGCCACTAAAATTTAGAATCAGCTTTTACGAGCAAGCCACACTGCAGTCATTTCATTGAGCAACAACGTACATATGCAAAGCTGATGTATGCAAAGCCCAGGTTTGTGAAAAAAAAAAAAAAATCCCTTTCATGCTACCCTCAAATAGAATTTAAAGAACAACTGTTGACTCAGTTAATCCCTCCTTCCATCCTAGGGCATCTTTTGCTTTGTGCGTTTTTAGACTTCACTGCTATAAGCTCGGGCAGTTTTTGCCGCATACACTGCGCAGCGTGGAAGACCTGGTCAGTGCTTAAACACAAGAAAACAAGAACACCTTGGGGTTTTCTTATTAGTTTGCAGAATACAAACCTCCAGGAAGGTATGATTCACTTGCTGTGTCATCCCCATCATCTCCATCTTCATCATCACGACTTAACAAATTATTTACAGCAAGGTTTACATCAAGATTTGTTCGCTGGAGTTCCCGAATAATAATACTTCTGGACTTCCCTTGTAAAACAACTTGTGCCTGTAAGAGCAGGGTGCAATTGGTTATTGGCCACTCTCAGCTCATTAACCACTACTCCCAAGATAACAAAGCCTAACTCTAAAACAGTCTAACAAAAAGCAGGAGTGCTATTATTGATTCTTCAAAAGTCAAACACACTACCTGCAGGCAAAGACTCACCTGGATTTTTTTCCTAGATATCTAACACTAGATAATTAACAACTTCTTGGCTTAATTTAGAGCACTGAATTCCAGCTCTGGGAATGAATTTCCTAATGGGTTAATATCTTGCCTCTAAAAAGGCAGAAGTTCCCAGTTTCTACTGAGTTTGGAAGTCACAAACAGAGAGGAACTTTGTCACAGATGTGTCTAAGACACTACATCTTCTAGCTCCTGGCTTGTGCCAGCTATGCTGTATCCCATCCAAAGCAGAGGGACAGCTAATCTTTGGCACACCAACTGCTGGTTATATTCCAAATCATGACTAGAAACTTGTTTTTAAGTAAGAATTACAATATGTTACCTAGTTACATATTTTGAAGATATTACTTGGTTATAACAGTATTTTTCTCCATGACTAACTAAATTCAATTGAATCATACGTTGTAAAGCCCATCTACTTATTTGGCTTTGGTTCATTAAGGGGCAAAAGCAGAATAAATTACGCCCAACATCTATATCGACTGTATTTACTAAAACATTAAGGAGCGGTACCCATGAAGAAAAAATATTAGCATTTGAAGAGATTAAATGTATTTAGTGGCTTTCATTTAAACAGAAATTTGTCACTCACTTTTATCCAAAGCAAAAAAAAAAAAAAAAAAGAAAAAAAGAAAAAAAAGAAATTGTTCCCCTTCTTTATATTCCTTTAAGAATCCTATATATTTGGTAGGATGCTTACTTGATAAGTATTTTATTTTATTTTTTTTGCTACATTCCCATCTGCAAATAAACAATGCACGAGAAAGCTTGGGAAATTACAATTCTGGAATAAAAATAAAACAGTCACTGACATTATGGATTTCAGAATAGAAGAATTTGGTAAGAAGTCTCTCATCTTAATTACATGCCATAATTCCTTGGGAAAATACACTGCTATTGCAGCATTCTCCTGCTCACGTGCTACGAGAGGCTGCCAGTTTTTGGCACCAAGAGGCCCGCCGCTCACGTACCTGTGAAATGAGTTCCTCTGGAATGACTGAGGCTGGAATCACCGGTTGTGGCTGGCTCCCCAGCAGCCCGGAGCCCCTGTCGCGCCCGGTGCGGATAACGCGGGTCTGCCGTCGGGAATCGCGAGCTCCAGCTGACGATCTGCCAGAGGATCCTCCTCCACTTCCACCAACCCCCGAACTCCAGCGGCTTCTAGAAGATTTAGATTTTATTTATGTATTAATTTTTAAATAGCAGCATGCTTTGGGGGCTATTTCAAGAAGTATGGCTTCAGTTTTATTATGAACATACGGCAGACGTTCTCGGAAAGATACTGTATATGGACTTCATAAACATATGCTATGAAAGGATCTCTCAAAACTAATGAGAACAGCACTAGGCAACTGATATAGCTCTGAACTACACAGAAGAAACATGAAGTTGCACTTTTGGCTACTTGTACAGCTGCGTGATGTACACATACACACACACATGCAGCCACACACACACACAATTCCTTAAGTTTCTAAAAGCAACAGTAAAAGCAGCATCCCACCAGCGCTCAATTGCTGCCTTCCTACTATAAAAGCACATACAAGCAGCAGCCTCGTGACCCATGAGTTTGAGAGAAGGTCACTGTATTTAGATGGCTCTTCTCAAATTTCTGAGATGTGATTTACATTAAGAAACTGCTTACTTAATTTTCCAGTGTAACCTTGACTGCAAGATAAATCTTGCACTAGATATTGCACTACATGTAAATGATTTGAGAGGGATTTTAGTACAGACCTATTCCTCTTGGAATAATCAGCTTTCACACATGTATCACAAAAGCATGTGTAAAATGACTAGATACAAACAAATTTTCCCTTCCAATTGGCCAATATCAAAAAAAGGGAATATAAGATAGTGCCTCGTAGAAATATACAACTCGCCATATTACAGCTAACTTTAAAAAGAGAGAACTGCACCAAATGTATTGCCCCCAAAGCCTTGATATTCTGTGGTCCTGAGGAAGAAAAACAAAACAAAACAAAACAAAACGATAAAAAGCCTCTAGTTTATTCCTCAGGAAAAAAAATAAACTTTGTTTCAGACAGAAGCCTACTGTAAAGAATACTGCCTATGGCATTACTGCTCTTTAATCATCAGTATCAGTAGAACTTTTCTGCTCTTAATCACCCTATGCATCAACCTCCTTTCATGAGAAATAATTAAAAAAAAAAATCTAGAGTCTACTTAGTAAAGGGAGAGGGGAATCAATATGCCCTGCGATGAAAAAAACAGTTTGCTTTTTTCACGAAGTATCGCTTTCATATCTGCAGGTAGTAATTAAGACAACCAGTTAAATCTTATATTTGATGTTCCGATTACCATTTTTCTGGGCAAGACCATAAAATTAAATAGCTCAAGCATCTGTTTAAGAGGATGCCCTGTCTCAGGGAAATCTATGTTTTCAGGATCACGGCCAGCAACTATACAGACGATGACCCAATAGGAAGCAATAAGCAATTCAATGACAGCTTCAGCATAAATGCTTTGCCTCATGAGTTAGAAAGAGCTCCCAAAAAAAAGGAAAGGAAAAGAAAAATATTGGTGAACATGAAAAGGAACATGAAACGGGGGAAAAAAAAAAGTGACATTAAATATAATGAGTCAGATTGTTTCTAGGAGTGTATTCTTGTTGTTGGGAAGGGAGCTGAGAGGAAGCTAATTTCTACAGAGCAAATTTTTCAATCCAGCTCTCAGCAGGGAGGATGTGGGTGTAAAAAGAAGCTTACGTGCTATATTTTAATACTTATTACTGATGCAGTTTTCTATTTTAAGTTATAAGCTATCAGTGACAGAGTTGAGAGAGATCTAACATTTAAAGACATTTATATCCTTATAATAATTAAAATGTTACAATTGAATCCTAATTGAGCTCAGGGAAACCCACTGGCTTTGCACACTGCCATTATTTTTAGTGTAACAGCAATTCAGTTAAAATGTGGTTTAAATGTGTTCTTTCAAAGAAAAAGAGTAACATATTCAATATCCTTAAAAGAGTTAGGCTTCATTCTCTGATGTCTTTGCTATGTTTAACAGACATCTTCAGAAGTTCTGGAACCTACTGATCAACTTTGGTTAAACAACCAAAAAAGTTATCTTCATAAAGTTTACTTCCCTAGTGTTCATAAATCTTTTTTTCCCATCGGGACTCCTTTCAAGTGGACTTGAATCTACTTGATGTGCTACCATGCCTCTGTCAGATCACTTTTTTATTTAGCTGCTTGAGAGAGCAGATCTGCTATGAAGAAAAGTCTAAGGACATTAGTTACTTTTACTAAGCTGTTTACATCTCGAATAAGTACTAGTACCAAAAGGAACTCTTTCTGCATATTTCTGCTCATCTACTTGATCCCCATCCACTGTCCATTAACCTGCTATCATCTTTCCAAATTCAGTGAATTAATCTAAGGTCTCTGCAGTTAGCATGTGTTAAGATTCAAATTAACAAGTAAACCTTGCCTGTAAATACACTCTACTAGTTTGGTGAGTTTCAACCAAGCATTTCTGAACTATGCAACAGAAAATAATACAAAGGCTTCAGGGGCTGGTTTCACATGACTTCAAATAATTTTAACTGGTTATGCTCAGGTGAAAATAAAAGAGTGAACATGTTCCTAGTCTGAGAGAAATAAAACCATTTTTGACAGTAAGTTTTTAAGCAGGACACCATCAGTTTGCCTTTAAAGTCCACCACGCAGATTTAAGTTGTGATGCATGAATATTTCACAAAGAGGCAGGGATAGGAAGACTTTCATGCAGCTAAATCCCAGATGAAATTAGCACATTTAATAATGTAAACAACAAATTCCTTTTATTTTTTGAGTGGAGGGGGGAAAAGGAGGAAAGGCTGAAGTTCATTGCCTTACAAAAGCATATAATGAAAAAGCCACTGCAATTACATAAAGATTAACTTACATTGCTATAAAAAGGGACACCATCAATTCTAAAGCTGATTATTAAAATAATACATAATTTGAGTTTATATACTGTATTTCCAACTTTCTATTTCAATTCTAAGGGTTCTGAGTCACAATTTTTTCCAACTCTTTTCTTCTTATTACTATGTATTACAGTCTAACAAAAAGCAACTCTTCACCTGGGACAAGGGAGAGGAAAGCTAAATAAAGCTGACTACAGGAAAATCTGTCAATACACATGCTAAACATTTTTTTCCTGTGTAAATGCATTCATTTTACTTCATGCTATTATTCTATTAAATTGATAGTGTCCCTCTAAAAAATCTGTTTTTCAAAGCTGAGGGGGTAAACACTCAAAAAAGACAACACAGCCAAAACCAAGTTATCCTTCACACATTTATTGGAACGTATGAAGAATGTTCCATATCCTAGGCACTCCAGGGTCATTTGCATATGTGTTATTTTAACAAAGTCAGTAAGGTTTTTGTTACACCCTACCTACACAACTGCTGTAATTAAACGTCCCCTTACACATACTGCATACAGTTTATATATGTGTATACACATATACTCAAATATGGAACAAACAGATTGCAGCCTCAATCCTATCAAAACTTACCCAAGGGTGTTGCCTGCCAGTCTGCCCAGAGTTTCAGAACCAGACAGAAACCATGGGGAGTCACTAGTTCTGCCTGGCCTGGATGTCCTTCCTGCCCCTGAGCCACTGCTCAACTTTGAACTGAAAGTAAAAGATGGTAAATCAGTCACAAAACAATCCCAAATGGGTTAAGAACAAAACCTGGAAGCCCAGGTCTAAATTCTCAGGGACTTAGTCTGGTAACATACCAGCTTAAGCAACACCCTTGGGGAATATTCCAAGCTAATCTAACTGTCTGTTAAGATGTATGCTGAAAAAATAAAGTGGAAAGCATGCCTAACAGATCGTACTTACACCAGCAATCCATAATAACAGTTTCAAATGCACATTAAGCTAATCAGTGATTTGAGATAGCCACTGCACTACGTGTTTTCAGTTAGCATATATGTACAAATTGTAACAGCCAGGTGCTCTACCTGTAAACTAGAGCCTAGGTATACTACTTAAATTGAAGTTTTACATCCAAATATGATCAAGCAGTCCTAATACAGAGGACTTACCTGTATCAAAGGCACCAGATTTAGAAAGTAAGCCCCTCCAGAAGGGACCCCTTTCTGAGCAGATTCTACGTCTGCCTTGAAAATATAAGCCAGTTTGTTTCATAAAGCTTGTCTAGGGCGGGGGAAAGGTGTTGTTTTATTGTTTCTATAAATTAAAGAGTTCCTGTATCACTACCTTTTGACCACATCTAATATTTATTCCTGTACCAGTTTGTCAAGCTACACTGTTTGGCTGCATCACCATAACCACTGTATATAAACTTCAAGTACCCATTTCAAAGGCAATCTGTTTTAAAACCAAAACAAAACACCAAGCACTGCTTATGCAGTTCAAAAGAATTATTTAATATAAAGAAAAATATTTCTTACCCATCATTATTATCGGGTTTACCCAATTCCAATCTGTCTGGCTGAACTGAAAAACCAATCCTGCAGACTCTACCATCCTATATTTAAAACAAGAAAATCAAGTGTCCAAAATTAAAATACAAGACAGTTACAGGAAAAACACACAGACATACACACACACACATAAGTAAATAAGTCTTCAGTTGCTGAAGAATGTTGATCAATTTGATATTAAAAGAATTAGCTTTAACTCTACAGTTTCAAATTTGTTATCTCAACAGATTTTGGAGTAATTTACCTCAAGAAGAAATGCAGCATGATTTGGTCCCACCACACACTGTTTAATAGTAGCCTGTTCCAATACATTCAAAGGGGGGTGGCTGAAAATAAAAAGTGAGCATGTATAACATTTTTAAACTTTTAAAGTCTGGAAAAAAAAAAAAAATCCTAGTGGCATATGGAAGTAATAAAGCGCAGTGATGATTGCTGATACAGAAACATTCAAGAATGACTAAAAATGTACATTAGTCGAGGCAACTATGACATACTTTCAGTCATCAAGCACAGAAAATGCAGAACAAAAACTTTTTTTTTTTCATTTTATGTGGTCAATAATAAACAATAGGGATTCTACATCAAAAGTAAGGAATTAGTCTATAAAGTGGGTGTTTAATAGACTGTATCATGACTGAAAACCTAACATTTTCTCCCTTACATAGTAACTGTCTTGTCTGAAGCATTTCTGAAGCTTAGCATAAGTACTAAGGCTTTCTAAGGCTCCACCTACAGTGCAATCCTTTGTTTTGTGTTGATATTAGAAACACATTCTTTCCTAGACGGCTTATAGTGATGCCTGAAATGTCTTACCTGTTTAAATTATATTTGTTCAGCTTCTCTGAAACTTCCCTTAATCTGCAACAAGAAGAAAAGAAGCCGTTTGCAAGACATTCTTCGCTGTATCAAACGTTCACCTAAGCAGCACACTTGTGACATGAGTTTTCTTTTTAACTGCCAGGGACATTTCAACATCCTACACACTGATCAAACTGAATATCGACTCCAAAACTGGCCCCTTCTCAATAATTAAAACAAGAGTATCATGACATTACAGCAGGAGACAGTGAGTACATTATGAGAACAACTTACCATCACAAAATTTTCAAGGCACTATATAAAAAGACTCCTGCTTTTGTTACCACCATTTTCCAACTTTACACACAAAGTAAGCAAATGAAGCAATAAGCATAAACAGTAGCTATATTTGTGTTTCTTGCTACAGACTTGAATACAGTCTCCCTGAGCAAACAGGATTACCATTTTCCAGGGAACCCAAACATGTGGTATTTCACATCAAAAACACGACTAAGTTCCCAGAAACAGATAACACAGGGAAACAGAGGCATATATACACACACACACACATATATATACACACATATATAAAAAAAAAAGCCAGAGGCAAAAGGGACAAGCAACAAACTTTGCTGAAAAGAAAAAACAAGCCGGGTAACACCATATATGACCGCACCTTTTATCTAAAATGGCACCCTTAATGAGAGGGGGAGAAAAAAAAAGAAAAAAGGAAAAAAGGAAACAAACAAAAAAAACAGTTTCCAAAGATACCTCCACCTTTACATCACCTCACCAAATGGAGAATGGGCTAAAAACTCCAGCTTAGAGGCTATGGTGTTCAAAAATTGAAACCAACACAGGCCTTTCTACGAGATGCTCTCGTACTACCCTGCAGGCATTTCAGGTGAAACAGGGGCTCTTTTCTTCTCAAAGATGACGCACACTCTCAAGACGTCCTTAAACGCCACCCAAATTTAGTTAGAACATTTGCATTATATTATGAATGCTGTAAAAATAATTTCAGGTCTTTCCAATTAAAAACAAAAATAAACTAACCTTTGCACCACATTTACGCTAGCATTCTGCAAACCTCTTCCTTGCTCAGCAACACCGCTCCAATCTCAGCAAGAAGAGGCAGTCCCACCAGGACCGTTCTCCTCTCCGAACACGTCCTTAAACCCTAACTTTTTACTCGATTCATTTCGTTTCTATAAATAGGCTGCTGCAAACAACAGACCTAAGTTACCTGCAAACCCTGGGCATGAGAAGCAACACACATTAAAGGCCCAAAGGCTCAAATCTCAGTGCTATCAGTTTGATGTTTTTTAACTCGATAGCCTTTATTTCAAGCATGGGGGGCTAGGGGATGGAAGGAAGGAACACATCCCTTTGGGACCGCAACAGGCTGGGAAGACAACGCACAGGAGGAGAACGCACAGGACAAACATCCCCAGCCACCTGGGCAGGCGGCGGCCCACGCAGGAGGATCCTCAAGGAAACCCCCAGCACAGATGGTCCGGTCCAAGACTCATCCTGGGACTCTCTGGGAAGCAAGCAAGGATCTGCCGTGTAATACACATCAAACAAAACACACCCGAACCTGCGTGTCCCTAGGACCTCAGCTAACTACCCACAGAAATCAGCAGCAGCAGCTTTTCCACTAGCATTTCTCCCCCTGGTGAGCTTGAGCAACAGAACAGAAACCATGCTTTTAAGTTCATGGCACTTCTCTATGAAAATCTAGGGGCGAGGTCATACACTAGCAACAGGACACAGTTTACCAGGCTACTCTGAGCAACATTTAATGTTTCCTTCGGGTTTACATGACAAAAGTCGGACAATATTAAGGAAATATTTTTTTAATTTGTAAATACAATCTTATTCCTCTTTTACTTGTAAAAATATAAGGAATAGGGAAGAAAAATGAATCGAAAGCAAAAAAGATTTGCACACTCCAAATCTACCAGTAACATCAACCTTGGAAGGGGTCCATCTGCAACAAGATTAACCAGATGCCCAATGTAACTGAGAAGAGGCTGCTGTCAGCATTTAAGGGGGAGAGGGGATTGCTCTGATTTGATGATTGTGCTATGATTCTGAAAGCGTGAAACTTGCTCTCTCCCAAAGAAACATGATCTAACCCCCCAATGTCTTATACAACTCCCAGAAGAGTAAAATTGCAGAGTACTGAAAAATAAGCTGAGGGACTCATGCAGACTTGAACTTTATGCAGAGCAGCACTGAACAAGAGAGGAAGGGTTTGCGCTCCCTCCATGCCCGGGCCACTCCTTTCAATCCCACTGCTCCCTTTCTTGTGCTGCCACCAGCACTTGGGGGAACAACACAATCACAGAACTAAGCCAGCCAAATAACAGCAGATGAAATAAAAAGATAAATTCTGTGCAGATGTAAATAAAAACTCCAGGCAAAGAACTTGACGAAAAGGTTCTTGTAGCAATCTAAGTCCTTCTGCTTGCACGCTTTCATGGTGTTGTGCTATGGATCCTCTGAGGGAGAATTACCCAGTGCACACTTAAGTTTAGGCCAAAAAAAACACAGTTCAATAACTTTAACTTAGGATGAACTGGACAAAGAGGTACATGCAGAGATGATTTAATGAATCCATGCATTAAGGAAGACCCACACTTCCATTAAGATCTTCCATCTGAGTCTTTGCTGTGACAGGACGAGTCTCTGACACCAGAGGCTGTCTCCTCAGTTTTGGAAAAATCTCACTAAAGGCAAGTAAACTATTTCAAACAAGGAGGGCAAAAAGAACTCAGTATTTGCCCACAAACAGATCTGGGGAGAATTGCACTGGGTCTTTACACTTTTGAACACGAAGTTCAGTGGTGAGGTCTTGCGCATTAAGAGATGCGTTTTTATAATAACCCTATGAAAATCTAACCAAATGCAGCTGTGACGAAAAACAAAAAGTTAGCTTGCACCAGCCAAGTAGGGACTTTTTGTTTTAAATTTTAGCAGCTAGAACTTGAGTCCAAAGCTCTTGCATTAATCAGAAAATGTATTTTCTCTTAAAGAACATATATACCTTCAGAGAAGTTTATCTGAGCATCCATCATCCCACCACATCTTCCTGTATAAAAGCTAGTTAGGCCTAACAAGAGAGTTACACACAAAACTCAAGTACGAAATACTAATAAGTTCACTGAAATAATAAATTACAGCATATTTTAAAGAAACTGCAACCTAATTAAGCAAGCATTAAATTCTATAACCTTAAATTCACTAAGCAGAACTCTGTTTTACAATGTAGGCTTTCATCCAATATCCAGAATGGAGCTTTGAAATAGGCAGGTTGTCCCAAGGAGAAGAAAACCATAACACAAGCTGCACTTCTAGTATACTTGCTCCTCATGGGCACAGTTCCCAAGAGGCAGGATTAGACAGTCATCCTTCAGGTTTTCAAAAATATATCCATCCTGCCACCCAAAAATCCATCTACCGTAATATGCAATACTAAGAAAAATTTTCATATTGTTCTAAGATTTTAGAAGAGTCTAAAGAATCTTCTACTGCTCATCTGTCTCCCCAATATTTATTATTAGATCAAAAAAAAAAAAAAAAAAAAAAACCACAAACTTCTCAGGGAACATCTGGAAGATCTTCCCAAGGAAACACATAAGATGAAATGCACGGTGAATTGCAAATAAGTATTTCCCCTGGTAACTATAACATTTATATTTTCCCTCAAAATCTTACTTGCTATTAAACTGAAACAATACTGATGCTAACATGTAATCTAACATCTTCTACAGTTCTGGTCAAGTGATAATACCACATATACCACATTTATTGAGAAGTATTATAATGATTAGTACCATCTCAGGGACGGATCTAACTTTACTATCCCTTTTGGGGGGAAAATATATACTTTTCTAAACTATGCAACTTCAGCTAGATTTTTAAGTGCCAGGTAGGTCTTTAAAGAACACACAATGCAAACTTTCAACTGAAGAAGTGCGAATTAAAATGTTTGCACATTGCATGTCTCAAGAAAAAGAAAAGAAGTCTTGCTTGAACAACAAGAAACACTAGATCCCCAGACACAATGTTCCCAAGATCCATTCTCTTCATTTTTTTCCTCCTAAAGTTGATCCTTTACAGTCTTAATACAATACTTGTTCACTTTAAACAAAGTTTCTATATCAGGCAGGGGCCCCACAAGAGCTTTCCTAACTTCAGCACCACATGGTGATGATAAGGGTTCGCCAAAGGCTGAAAATGAAATATATGTTTGAACGACAGCTTGGTCTGTTGAACAACTTCAAGTAGAGAATTTCAAGATAAAAAACATATAGTTCTGATGTTTTTCTAAATGATCAGACCTCTCACAACTTCATATGGCAATGAAGTCTGCATCTAACAATCTCACAACTTTCACCAGAGCATAAAGAATGTAACAGAAATATCAGTTTTCATATAACACATAAAAGAAATAAAAGTTTTCCAAAGAAAGGTTAAGAAGCAGCAGATAACCAAGGGAAAAAACCCTCAAGCATTGGAAGATTGTACTGACTAACACACAAATCAACACTAAGTAAATGCAACCTTCATCTTTATCCCATTGCTGATACCATGAAGCTCACAGTGTCAACAGCCCCATGCTGACCAAGGCCCATGGGAGCTGTCACATGACTGTCACATGTCACAGCTCCAGCATGGCAGCCAAATAACCAGTTATTGGGACTTTTTAGCCCAGTAGAGCTGTACAGCTTCCAAATTCAAGTCCTTTCACTCCTGCCTACCTTTGTGTCAGAATTCCACTATGCCTATAGGTGTCATGAGAATGGATACCAATGACAAGCTAAAAAAACAAGTTATTTTATGTGTCCTGATCCCAGAATGTCTCAGATATTGGTACCGTAGAAATCGGGTAAAATCACATCCAGATGCTCTAAGAAAGCATACAGAAAGGTCCTGCTCCTATTACACACCCTATTTGCCAGGCCAAATCTTGTAAAGGCATTTCTGAAGAGGCAGCCTTCCCTAGTTCCTGTACCATATAACTTTCTCCTAAAGGAACAAACGAAGAATTA